GTGCAATTCTACCCTATAGGGCTGCTATGAGTTGGAATTGAACGGATGACAATGAGTTTGGTTTGGTTTCAGGCATAAAGAGGATTGATTAGGCCGCTGGGTGAGTGCTCAGCTGTGAAATCCAGGTGGGAGAGGACGCCTGTCTAAGTGCCGCTGCCCTTGGCGGCTGTATCTCCTTTCTGATTGATGCCTTTCCAGTGATCTTATGGTTTCTACTGTGTGCTGAGTGCCACTTGTCCTTAGTTTTGCTTGTAGCTTCTTTTGGATTCTTGTATCACAGATTAAATTTTCTTGAGACCAAAGTGTTGCCTTCAATTCTCTCTCTCTCTCTTTTTTTTTTTTTTCAGATTCTCTCAGTTCTTCTTTTCGCCGCTGATCCTGCAGAACACTCGTATTGGTTCCGACCAAGTCCTTGGCTTTGCTGGCGAGGCTCTCTATTTGCAACTCGTCAGCACAGATGGTGTCATTGGCCCACTCCAGTGTACTGCTGCTACTCAAAGGGTCAGGGGTTTTAACCAAATGGTCAGTGGTTCAAACCCAGCCAGCAGCTGGTGATCTGCTCCTGTACAGAATACATACAGCCAACTCTAGGGGAAGTTCTCCGCTGTTCCAGAGGGTCATTATGAGTCAGAATAGACTCGATGGTGCAGAGCCACTGCTAAGTTGGTTGGTGACATACATATTAGCGGCTAATTCTCCCTCTTTACTTCTAATTTTGCTCGAGACTATAGTATATGCCTTTGTTTTGGTTCCTAATGCATGCACATTGCATTTCTCAGTCCACACGACCCTATTTCTGGCAACGACGTCTTCAGTGCCCACGATTTCCATCTGATGGGAGAGTTAATGGGGCTGTGCTGGAGGAGGGCTGCTTTAGGTGACCTTCTTAGGCTCCCTGTTCCTCACCAGAGAGATAAAACGAAAAGGTTCATAAATGACACGGTGTCTCTGAGTGGGAAAAAAGAGCCCCCAATGCCTGGGTGCTGTGTCTGTTACTTCACCACCTGTCAGCACGTTTGGGCAAAGCTGTCTCTGCTGCCCTGCCATGATTCATTCCCTGTAGCGATTTCAGCAGGGGCAGAGCCCAGGGACAGAGATCATCTCACACAGCCACCCTCTTACCATGGGATTTCTACCAGAATGTTATCTTCCAGGGTGCTAGTTTCAGAGCGCTATTTCTTAGGCTTGTGAGTTTTCAATAAGAACTCAGCAAATGTCGCAGAGAACAGCTTCCCAATCATCTATAGGAGACGACTTAGGAATCTGGTAAGACTGTTTAAAAAAAAATTTGTGCCCCTCAATGTGAAAAAGGCAAAAAGAGATGGCTTGGTTTCTGGATATTACGCGACAGCATTTTCTGTTACATCTGCTTGATCTGGTCTTCAACGGCTGCCATGTCAAATTGTTACAAAGTAGGTGGCTTAAAACAACAGAAATGAATGCCCTCACAATTTGGGGAGCCAGGAGTCTGAAATCAAGGTGTCAGCAGGCCCAGGTTCTAGGACCAGTGGCTGCCAAGCAGATTCCATCTCATGGCAACCACATGTGTATCAGCAAACTGCTTTGCAGAATTTTTTAAGAGATGGATCCCCAGGACTGTCTGAGTGGCCTTGACGCACCTAGTGCTTTCACCACTTACATTGTCCCAAAGGCTTCTGAGCACTTTAGGGACAAAGGTTCACCTCTTGCAGCTTTTGGCGGCTTCAGGCTTTCCTTGCCTTGCGGATGTGGTTGCATCCCTCCCACGTCTGCCTCCATGGTCACATTGCCTCCCCTACTCTTTCACACTCCCACTGCCTCTCTTATACGGAAACACAGGGCTCCCCTTCAGGTCCACTTGGACAAACCGGATTAAACAGCTTCTTTCAAGATTCCTAATTCAATCACAGTTTTGCCATATAAAGTAACATTCATTTTTTTGTCTATAAGGTTATATTAATATGTTCCAGGAATTAGGGCAGGAACATACTTTTGGGGGACCATCACACACTGGACTGTTCATCTTGAGGTCAGAAGTTCAAAGCTACCAGCCAAACTATGGGTGAAAGATGAGGCTTTCTACTCCCTTAAAGAATTACAGTCTCAGAAACCCACAGGAACTGTTCTATCCTGTCCTATAAGTTCACCGGGAGTCAGAATCAACTTCATGGCAGTGGGTTGTCATTCAGCGCACTACAGCCCTCATTGACACTCTTTGGATCCAATCTGTTTGGTTAACAGATACAAAGGCACACATGGTTCGCAATCATGTCAAGATGGATAAATTGTTAGGATGTTATAAAAGGGTCGAGAAGTGACCTCTAACGGTGATATAATCTTATTGTATGGTAGCAAATAAACCCATCTTGTACCTAACAGGGCAAGCTATTTTTGGGTCATTTCTTTCCCAATGGACTACACAAATGTCTGTTCTTCAGTCCTTTGCTTCTCTGAACCAGGTCTGCCATCCTCTGGTTGGAATAAAACACAAAATTTAAAGACATAAAGGCCTGGTAAGAAATAAACTGTGCAGAAATACAATGAAGCCCCAAATGACTCATGAATGGCATCAGGGGAGGAGGAGAAAGCGATACTATTTTTGATCCAAGGCACTGCCTTGAAAGGCGGCCATTTTTACCAATGAAATATGATCTGCCTTTCCCGCGAAGCTTGACCTAACAGGCTTCCATTACTGTCACTGCTTCCCTTTCATCAGTGTTTCATGGCCCCACTGAGTTATGAATCACAGGACCCAAAGGTCACCATATATCAGGAGGGAGAAGAAAAATCTCTCTCTCAGGATGCTCAGCTTACAGTTCGTATCCTCTCTACCTTTTAAAAGCGTAAGAGCAAATAGAATCTTCCTGTGCAAATGAAATTCTATTTTGATAGTACAATTACTGTTTATGTACGCACCATTTTCCACATCATTAGAAAGGACTTCGGTTTCAACTAAGTGTTATCTACTCACATTACAAAAACACCCATTTTGCCCAAAGAAGCAAATGATAAACACTATGGAATATAGGTAAATACTGAATGTAAACAGAGGCCGTTCTCCAGCTGCGATTAGTCAGCAACTAAAGGTTCTGAATGATCCGCAGCTGGACAGCATGCCCGGCCCTGCTGTGAAAAGGCCTGAGAAGAAAAGAGCGATGATAACACACACTAAACGTCAGCCTTCTTTCCAGCCAAGGCACGTTTAAAACATTCTAATGACATTATTCACTGCTTGTCTGCCAGTTTGACCTAGCATGGTTGCTACTATGCTGGGAGCTGTGCCACAGCGATTTCAAATAGCGGCAGGGTCACCCAGGATGAACAGGTGTCAGCAGAGTTTCCAGACTGAGAACAGAGGAGGCAGAAAGAACACTCTTTCTGAGGGACTAGACAGTGAGTCGCAACAGGACGCTGTCTAATACAGTGCCAGGAGATGGGTCCCTGAGGTAGGAAGGTGCTCATGATACGACTGAGGATTTGGTCAATTAGAAGATGTTTAGATCTTTTGTAAAATGCTCCACCGCATCAGCAACCTCTAGGCA